AAACTGGTGGATTAGCTAAATTTCTGAATGAAACCCAAGAGAATGAAAGTTTCACACCACACACCCATTCATTTAATTCTCATTCTGGCCCCTCTTTGACCTTTGGTTGATTGTCAACATTTCTGTTACGCGACGCCCCACAGTTTCTATCAACTGCCCTAATATCCAAAGTTCCATTTCATACGAAGCAAGTGAAAGCAAAGGGTTGGAGGGATGTGGAGTGTGCTTCAGGGTACATACTGTATAGACAGCTCTTAACTGCCTGTAACTCCAGCTTCAGGGGCTCTGACTCCCTCTTCCAGCCTCTGAGGGCACCTACACACCTGTGCACACACCCATGCACAGACACATAATTAAAAAAAAGTTAAAAGTAGATTAGAACTACGTAAATGTTTAATAATCATTCCCTTTTCACCTCACTTCAGGCACCACTTAAGTTGATCTTTCAAAGAGAGTTAAAAAAAAAAACTATTTTCTTCTTATGATAAGCAGCAGTTTTTACTTTTGTGTGTACATGCATAGGTATACACATCCATGCACATGAGTGTGGAGGCCAGAGGCCTATGTCCAGTGTCTTCCTCTATTGGTCTTTACCTTATTTTTGGAAACAAAATCAATTACTGAATCCAGACATCATCGCCTGGCTAGACTGGCTTGCCGGAGAGAGAGCCTTGTCACCTGGGGATTCCAGGCACACAGGCACGAGCTATCATGCCTGTTTTTTTGCCTGTTTGTTTTTGTTTTTTTTTGTACTGGGATCTGGATTCAGGGCTTCATGTCTGTGTAGCAAGCCCTTTACCCACAGAACCATATTCCTAACCCTGTAGGTTTTGCTTTTGGAAAGTGAATTGCATAGGGCATTATGAAGCATTAAGTGATTTTTGGACTATTTTAATGATAGGGATTTTGCAGATTGATACAGTAAAACAGACAGATGTGACATGTAATGCACTAATAGGTAAAAACTATTACTTGTTGGTTGATAATGCTGGACATAATTTGTTAAGCATAAGAAGAAAAAGACCAGAACCCGAGTTACCTATTTCTACTCTACAACTTGTCTGCTTATGATGCTTTTTTTTTTCTCAATTTCTGCACATGTCAGAATTCCTCTTTCTTATTTTTGGCACCATCTGTAAGAATACTGTAGCAATGTTGTCTGTGCCCCAGTCTCAGGAAGACTAGCGATAGAATTACAAAGCATGTAGCAGTATGTACAAGATCATCGAGGTTGCGGAATGTAAGATCAATGAGAAAGGCACATATTTATACATTTGAGCAAGAGGAATATTGTGAGATAGATATTAAAAATATAGCATAATAAAAATATAATGAAAATAATGTCAAAAGAATAAATACTTCAGGATAAATTAAAAAATAAAGTGTAAAATATTTATGCTGTGAACTATAGGGCTGGGGATATAGCTCAGTGGTACAGTGCTTGGCTAGCATGTGTAAGGCTCTGGGTCTGAATACTAGTGTTTGGAGTACACACACATACATCACACACACACACACACACACACACACACACACACACACACACACACACACACACTATCCCTTAGAAGAACAACTCCTTCCCAAGCCCCAAACCAATAAAAAAATCAAATAAAATGTATAAGACATTCCTAAAAGAAATTAAAGAGGATCCAAATAAATAAAAAGTTTATCCATGTTTATTGCTTAGAAGATTTACTATTATTAAGATGATGATCCATCCAGTCCTATCCGATGTACATATCTAGAAGAATGGCCACAAAATACCAGCTGATTTCTTTCAAGCAATCCTAAAATTCATATGGAAATGTAGTGGAGCCCAGAGAACCAAAATATCTTAAAAAAAAAAAAAAAGCCAAGGTGGAAGAATCACATATGATGTACTTGAAAGCTTACAAGCTTACCAGAGAGCAATCAGGGGCCCTAGCATCATGACACCGTGATACCACATGTGGGCTCAGTCAGAAGGCTAAGAAGGGACAGTTTTGACACAGACATACAGAACAACAAGGAAAAGAAAGAGACCTGAAAGAAGCCTCTATGTCTACATTCTATTGATTTAAATCTAAAAAGTTTTTAATCTGTGACTTTATTTTTGCATATGTATGCTGTGGATATCGCTTTGTATAAATAAACACTGATTGGCCGGTAGCCAGACAGGAAGTATAGGCAGGACTAACAGAGAGGAGAACTGGGGGAACAGGAAGGCAGAGAGGGAGACTGCCTGGAGCCTTTGCCAGGACAAGCAAGATGTAAGGTACCAGTAAGCCACGAGCCACGTGGCAAAGTATAGATTAATAGAAATGGGCTAAATATAAGAGTAAGAGCTAGACAATGATAGGCCTGAGCTAATGGCCAAGCAGTTTAAATAATGTAAGCGTCTGTGTGTTTATTTTACAAGTGGGCTCCGGGACTGGCGGGACTTGGTGGGACCCGGAGAGAAAAGCTCTCCAACAACATATGTATGTGTGCATGCATGTGTGTGTATTCCCATGAGTGTGGCTGCATGTGTGTATGTGTATGTATGAGCACACACATGTGAATGGAAGCCCGAGGTTGAAGTCTTTTGTCCTTATCAATTGCATTCCACTTAATTGTTTGAGGCAGAGTCTCTTGCTGAACCCAGACTGAGCCATTTCAGCTAATCTGCATTGCCAGTGTGCTCTGGGGGGTCTCTGTCTCCTGCTTCCTTATGTGGGGATTGCAGGCAGGTGGCCACACCCCTCCAGATTTTTATGTGTGCTCTGAGGGTCTGAATCCAGTCCTCATGCTCGTACAGTAAGCACTTTGCCCACCGAGACATCTTCCTAGCCCTTCAATTTTTTTTTTTTTTGATAAAATCAAGATGGAGAAAGGATAATATAGCCACTAAATGGTTAGACAACTGGGTATTCATATGCAAAAAATGTAACTTGAATCCTTACCTCATACCATACCCATAACATAAAATGGGTCCTAGACTTAAATGTGGGAGCTGACATGATAACATGCTTAGAGAAAAGCAATAAGAAGTCTTTGTGACTTTGGGTTAAGCAATAATCTTAATACTAATTCTTTTTCTTTCTTTCTTTTTTTTTTTTTTTTTTTTTGGTTTTTTGAGACAGGGTTTCTCTGTGTAGCTTTGCGCCTTTCCTGGAGAACTCACTCTGTAGTCCAGGTGGGCCTTGAACTCTGCTTCCTGAGTGCTGGGATTAAAGGCGTGCGCTACCACTGCCCGACTAATAATAATTCTAAAAATACAAACAGAGAAGAGAAACTGAGCCTCTTAAAAATTATATACTTCTGTGTTTCAAGGGAATAATTACGAAAGATGAGCTAAATAACGTGGAAAACATTTGAGAACCATAACCTAATAAATGATTATTCTGAATACATAAATACCTTTGAATTGAAATGTAAAATTCCAATTGTGAAATTCACTATAGAGGTAAGTAAGCATTTCTGTAAAGAAAGTACAAGGGACTGAAGACCCCAGGAAAAGATGCTCCATGTCATTGATAGAGAAATGTGGAGAAAGTCAATGACATAACACTTCACAGCATCAACCCGAAGGGTTACACCTCAGGTACAATAAGAGGTGTTGGCAAGAATATGGACCAACACACACTGCTGGTGGGATTATAGACTGATGCACCTGCTTAAGAAAAAAGCTTAGCAATTCTTTAAAGCTGCCATGTGATCCAGTATTTTAACTCCCATGTATCTGGCTATTCAAGAGAAATGAAGATACCTGTCCACACACAACCTGTCATCAAGTTCCCTCCTAAAATGGAAACAACCTATTCACTGAAGTCTGTATGAGCAAAATTGGGCATATACAGGGAGTGAGAATTTTCAGCATTAAAATAAATGAAGTATGGATACACATCACGTCTCGACAAACCTAAAAAGCATTATAATAAGTTAAAGGAGCCTGTGAAAAAGATCACACACTATACAATCTCACATACAGAACGTCTACAAAAGACAAATCTGTCGAGATAAAAAAATATACCAGTGGTTGCCTAGAGCTGCAGAAAGTAGAGTGGATAGGAGATGGATGCTAATGGACACAAAAGCTCATTTTAGAAAGGATAAAAATATCCTCAAGTGGGGCTGGAGAGATGGCTCAGTTGTTAAGAGCACTTGCTACTCTTGCAGAGGCCTGGAGCTTGGTTCCCAGCACTCATGTTAGGTGGCTCACTAACACCTTCAACTTCTACTTCAGGAGATCTGATACCCTTTTCTTGTATCTGTGGGTATTTGTGCACATGCGTGTGCACGCGCATGCACACACACACACACACACACACACACACACACACACACACACAAATAAAATTAACTGTGTCCATAACAGTGAGTAGTGAGGTCAGTTAATAATCATAAAATCAGTGGTTGATTCCACTTATATGTGAAATTTAGGCAGTTTATTTCCCCAACAACATGTGATAGACCTTTATCATCCTCCTCTCCTCTGTGGCTAGTGTACCTGATAGGGTGTAAGTAGTGCCTTTCTGAGACTCCTCCAAAGAGCTAGGGAGTACACACACACACACACACACACACACACACACACACACGCGCGCACACACACATGCACACACACACACCAAACATCAAAAAATAGAAATAAAAGAAAATCTTCGGAACAATTCTAAACTTACGTTACAGTCACTGTTACATAACACTAAATATATTAGAAAAATGGTATCATATGTTTTTAAAGGGTGAGCTTTATGGTATATAAATGTACTTCAATTAAGCTCTTAAAAAGACCACAAACATTCACCGAAGTCCTGACACACAATAGTTGTTCAATAACTATGCAACTGATGCTTCATTTTGTTGTTCTATGTCATTGATTCTCAACCTTCCTAATGCTGTGACTCTTTAATACAGTTCCTCATGTTGTGATGACCCCCAAGCATAAAATTATTTTCATTGCTACTTTATAACTAATTTTGCTACTGTTATGAATTGTAATGCAAATATTTATGTTTTCTGATGCTCTTAGGTGGTTGACCCCAAAGGGGTCGAGACCCACAGGTTGAGAACTGCTGCTCTATGTGAACCAACAATAGCTATTGGGTGAGGTGTGTGCATCAGTTTTCTGAACCATAAACACACAGAAGAGCCTGGGACTGGAGAAGTGTCTGTTCCCTTGCTATCCTCATGGAGGAGGACATGAAAAGCCAATAAAAACACCTGGAAAATTGAGATCTGGTTCTGCGATGGACAGTTCCTGGAGGAGGGATAGTTTAGGAAGGGCAGCCAGAGAAGTCTTGCTGAAGAAATGGTTGCTACTTTTAAAAAGACTTCCTCGCTATAATTTGGGTGAGTTTTTTTTTTCCAAATTTTTGCCAGCACAGAAGTCTTCACATGTTCAATGTAAGAATGAAAATGAGCTTGTGTGGGGGTACAGACCGTAAGTCCTATGGTGGGTAGTCTTAGAGCCATGGGATATCCCTGAAAAGGTAGACATCAGACAGGAGAAGGTTATGAACGGTATTAAGGAATCTGGGGCTGGGGAGACAGCTCAGTACGTAACTGAGCATGAAGACTTGAGCACCCACATAAAGCCTGGGCATGGCGGTGCAATACTGGGTGGGAGGTGAAGAGAGAAATGAATCACGGGAGTTCATTGGTCAGCCAATCTTGCTTAGTTGGTGAGTTCCAGGTCCAGTGAGAGACACTGTCTCAAAAACACGGAGGGGGCGGCTAATGAGGAACACTTCTGCCCTCTGCATGCTAGAAATAACTACCACATTACACATGGGCATACATATAAACATACACCCCCCACATGCATACACACACACACACACACACACACACACACACACACACACACACACATACATGAGAGAGAGAGAAACAGAGAGACATGAGAGACAGAGACAGAGAGACACAGAGACACACACACACAGAGAGAGGGGGGGGAGATCTTAAGGGATCTTAAATAGGAACTATATTTCCTACTCAAATTCTGAACAGATTCAAAAGTAAGTAAAAAATGATTGTAAGTGGAGGCTATGATTCTGTTTTTCTTTTTGACAAACTGATATTTCTATTGAAACTTGCATTGATGAGCATGTGTTCCTTAATACTGAATTCTCAAATTATATTTAGTAGTACACTCAACTGCAAACATTCTAAACCACCCAAGGACTCTCTACAGGCCAGATCATCTGTGGGGTAGGAGGAAAAATCTAATAAAGGGTCTAGCAGAGGATGTGGGTGGGATACAGGTGTGAGATTAGAAGAGTTCTAAAGAGGGGTGAATGACCACTGAGAACATTAGAGGCTACTGTGAGAAGCCATGTAGTTCTTCAGTCCTTAAGTGTTCTGATAAGGGTCTCATGCCACAGAATTTTTTTTGATTATTTTGTGATTAACAAGACCAATTGTTATACAATTCAAAAAAGAGAGTTAAGACATTGAAGATAACTTAGTGCTGTGGGATGTCCTGTATGTTGTGAATATATGTTGCTATGATTGGTTGATAAATAAAAACGCTGATTGGCCAGTAGCCAGGCAGGAAGGATAGTGTAAGTGGGACAAGGAGAGAGGAGAAGGCTGAGTCTAAGAAGGCTGAGTCAGGAGATGCTTCCAGCCTCCACGATGAGTAGCAAGATGTAAGTTACCAGTAAGCCATGAGCCACGTGGCAAGGTATAGATTAACAGAAATGGGCTGAGTTTAAGTGTAAGAGCTAGACAGTGGTAGGCCTGAGCTAATGTCCTAGCAGTTTAATTAATATGAGCTTTTGAGTGATTATTTTATAAGCGGTTGTGGGGTCCGTGGGGCTGGGCAGGACTGGAGAAAACTTCAGCTACATCTTAGAATTTATGAACACCAAAAATTATAGATCTTGGTCAAGGATTTAAAAGTAACTTTTAGAATAAGCTGCAACTTACTGCTCTGGATGAATATAATTTTGGTGCTGGGAAAGCTTAGTTCATTGGCCATGTAGCTTGGTTGTCTATGGGTTTTAGTCAGAAAACTGTAGAGTGAGACTCTAGAGCAGTGGTGCTTGACCTGTGAGTTATGACCCCGTTGGGGGAATCACATATCAGATATCCTGCATATCAGATATTTACATTATAATTCATAGTAGTAACAAAACTACAATTATGAAGTAACAATGAAATGATTTTATGGTTGGGATGATCATCACAACATGAGGAACTGTATTAAAGAGTTCCAGCATTAGGAAGGTTGAGAACCGCTGCTCTGGAGGATAAATGTGGGGGACAGGAAGATTGAGAGCAGATCTGTACTGATAAGAGGAACTTTGAAACAGTTCACACACATGTTCATAGTGTAGGTTTCCATCTAGTACATAGGAAAATTCTGAGTTTAGAAAGGGCAAAACAAACAAACAAACAAACAAACAAACAAAAAACCCACCTATATTTGAAGTTCAAGAATAGAGAATGTGTAGTAAAGAGTTTTTGTTTATATTTCTTAAAATTTTCATAAACATATGTTGTGTGACACTATTCTCAGGGAGATGGGAACAAACATCTAGTCACTCCAGATAGGGAACTGATGACAGGTCAAAGTAAGGACACTACCAAAGTTCGACTTGGTGAACCAATGAGGATTATTGTGGTTGCTTACATTAATATGGGTGAGGGGTTACCTACAGAAGCAAAAATGACTTGAAGACAGCTACAACATTAAACCCACCCCAGCATGGAAACCTGGAACACACTGGACAGCTGCAGGCACTACAACAGGTTAGAGAGAGTCTCTTTCAGGCAGCTTGGGGTCTGAGCTTCTTGCAGGCAGCTCATCTTGTCTCAATCTCTGCCTGGCAGCTGGGCTTGTCTAAGAGTGCCTTTCAGCAGTCTTCACTGCTTATATATGCTTCAGGAAGGAGTGTCTTAATGACTCTATTCAGTTTCAGGGACTTCCTGAAGCCTTTGAGTTGTTCTCTTCCTGAGCTTAAGGAGCCTCCCTGCAGGGTGGATGTTTCACCTGCCCTTAGAACACCCTGTTGTCTCACCTCCCTTCTAACATCCTGTATCTTGCTGAGTTTCACTCCAAGGTGGAAGTTTTTACCTCTGAGGAAACTGTTACACAACAGCAAGAGGACTTCCTAATATGTTATTACAAGATGGAGATTACTATGTGATAAGGAGCTAGAAGTCAATGGATTAAGTGTGATGACAGATATTTTAGTAGATTATTCTTGATTATAGCATGTACTACTACTTAGTTAAGAAAGATTTGTTTATTTGTTTTTATTTTAATGTGTCCAAGTGTTTTGCTTGTGAGTATGTAAATGCACTGCATATGTGCTTGGTGCTGGAGGAGTCCAGAAGAGGAGACTGGACCCCCTGAAACTGGAGTTATGGAGAGTTCTAATCTTCCATATGGGTTTGGGAGACAAACCCAGGTCCTCTGCAACAATAGCAAGGACTCTTAACCACTGAGCCAACCTTCCAGGCCCAGCATGTAGTCCTACTTTGAATGGATATAGTTCAAGCCAGGAGGGTAGTGGATTAATATATGTGACATAGAGGCAGAAGGGGAACCGTGTTGGGCAGGAAAGAGGAGAAAGAAATGGGTGTTAAAGGGACAAGTAAGAAAAATACAATGATACATGTATGAGAATATCACCGTGAAGTCCATTAATATATATATATATATATGTATGCTAACTTAAAATTAATTAAAATAGATTTTAACAGAAATGTATGAAGATAGACTATAATTCCTAAACATGAGGTATGATTAATTTGTTTACATACTCTGGAGTATACATTAAGATAGGCAACTGCATTTGTTCAAATAAAATATGGACTTATAAGTGGAAATTATATTATAAAATATGAAACAAGAGATTAAAAATATGTAATTGAAGGTTGTATTCGTGGCTCAGTGGTAGAGTTACTATCTGGCATGCATAAGGCCCTATGTTCAGTCCTCAGAACTGTGAGGAAAAAATATAATTAAGAAAATCTTATTACCAAGTTAAAAATTTCTCAGGGACAATGGAAAAGTTCTACCCCTAGAGACACAGGAAGAAAAACAGTGGCTTTTCGGACATCATGGAAGGTAGATTTCTGACAGGATGGACTCTCAAAGACTATCAGAGCCCAGTGATTTTATGAAGTGTGGCCAGATAAGAACAGGGATTCTTTGTCAGGGCTACATAGCAGAACCAGACAGAACTGACTGCGTGCATAGCAGAGTGTCATTTATTGCAAAAATATTATCATCATTCGAGGTAATTATTCACTTTTGTGTATTACTTGACAGTTGTACAGTGTCCCAAGACATATTTATCTTCAGTGAATCATAGAGAATGATGCTAATTATCCTCACTTATCATCTCACTTTCGTGAATAGACAAAGGACAGAACTGTAAACATCAAAATGACGCAAACAAACTTGCACTTTCAGCAAAAAGTGGAAAGCCAATTTTACATGAAATGTTACTGTGGGGGCTGGAGAGACAGTTCAACTGTGAAAATGTCTATTGCCCTTGCAGAGGACCAGCGTTCAGTTCCCATCACTCTCCTTAGGTGGCTTACAACTGTTTGTAGCTCCAGCTCCAAGGGATCCGATGTCCCCTTCTGGCTTCTCTGGGCTCTGCACTGATGTGCACATAACCCATTCTCTCTCTCTCTCTCTCTCTCTCTCTCTCTCTCTCTCTCTCTCTGTGTGTGTGTGTGTGTGTGTGTGTGTGTGTGTGAGAGAGAGAGAGAGAGAGAGAGAGAGAGAGAGAGATCTTTAAAAATGTTATTGTAGAGAGCTACTTCTGTTGAGGATTCAGAGGATTGGGAAACATTTTCCCCCTTTTCTATTATCAAGAAAACAACCAGGTAAGTTGACAACCAATCCCATTTCCACATCCGCTTTAAAAATCCTTTGCTGAATATTAGGTTAAAAGTATAAGCATATATTAAGTTCTAAAGAAAGGTAAGTGCTTCATAGTTGAGTGGTGACTAGAAGGTGGCTATGTATCTTCAGGTGATCAGTCAGTCTGGGGTGGAGTGCTGGGAAGGGAGCCTGCCACAGGATTTCCTTCCACTGGGTGAGACTTTGTTATATACACCACACGAAGTTCAAGATAAAACAGTAAATCAATTCTCCAAAGAAGAAATAAAGGAGAAAGCTAAATTAAGACTTAAGACCCAAATTAAGATTTCTTTCCCAACAGCCATTCAAACAAGATATGGAGAAAATAAACAACAGCAATAGTTGACATGACAGTAGTAATAATATCAAACCAGTCACAGTGGTGCATGCCTATAATCTGAGCAGGTGAGAGGCAGGGACAAGAGGATTGCTACAAATTTGAGGCCAGCCTGGGCTACAAGCA